CAGGAAGCCAACCTGCCTTAGGGAAGCAAAGATGGAATTCTTGTTCAATCCTCTTTGCTTGCGCCTGATATAAGATCATGGATGTGAAGCACTTTCTGACCTATAAAAAGCTACACACACAAGTAATTATCATAGCATCATTAACATATGCTACTAGATGTAAGCAAATTCAACTTGAGAAGGGCAAAAGCATGAAGAAATCAAATGGTGAGGGAAGAAGAGCCAGCAACTTGGGACAACTGAGGATGGCCAAACTTGTCCAGGAGTCATCAGCTTCGGGAGCTAAAAGAAAACAGAAGCAGCCATGAGATTAGAAATACACATCCCATCTAATGACCAGTCAGAGGCTCCTGGGGTTGGGTTCCAGGTATTACGAGTAACAGTGCAGGTCAATGTGCCTTCTGGAGAGAAGGTAAAACAGGCTTGTACCTGGTGGAACACTTGGGTACAACCCATTTCCAGTGCCTTCAAGGGAGATATTCTGGTCTGTGCTTCTAGCTGAGGAGGTGCTAAAGATGAAGGGCTGCCAGGACCTGGAAAGGCAGTGTCCTATGACACTGGGTCTCATGTGGCTCAGACATGGATGGATTCTGTTGGTTTTTAGTGTGCAAATCTATCGGCAGGCAGTGTTGACAATGTGGCCCAGAGACCATCCAAACAGCCTTTCCTGGTCAGGCCAGCCCCAAGATGGCACCATCCCCTCCCACAGATGCCTACTTATCCTGGCCTTTACCTGCTGCTGTCCCCAGCTGTATCTTGTTTTACTGAACCCCTTTGGCTATTGAGTTCTGATCTTATGCTACACAAGCAATGGTGAAGGTGGCCGAAGGGCCTATAGCAGAGAGTCCTGAACCTGAATCTGAAGTCCCGGGTTGAGGTCCTGATCTTGCCATACAGCAGCGAGGTGTTTCCCCAGGCCCGTTTCCTTCCTAGGTCTTCATTTCCTTGTTCCTGCAACAAGGCTAACAACATATGCCTGGCTGGCCTCCCAGCGCAGCTAGAGGGCTCAACTGAGGTGCTGCATTGAAGGTGCTTCTTGAGAGGAAGAGACTATAACCCCTGCAAATTGTAAGTGTTCCTGGGGAGGGTCTTTCCACCTAAGACTTCAAAGTATCATAGCGCATAGGGACAGAGGACTTGGGGCCTCCTGAACATACAGGTTAAGAGAGATGGCAGTGCCCTGGGTTGAGACTCAGAGAGGTATCAGAGCACATTTCTTCCCTCTGATAACCCTGGCTGCTTGGCCTCTGGGCTGCCAACACCTACCTAGAAGAGTTTCTCATAGCATTTCCCACAGTGGATGGTGTCACGGTGAATGAAGATCTGATCCAGGAGCTCACCCATCGGTTTATTGCAAATCCCACACTGGAAGAGAAAGGAAGCCAGAGGTCAGCATTCAAGTGAAGCAACATGAACGAGTGCAGTAGAGAGAAAGCACCTGACCAAGGTAGGCAGGCAGACACTGAACAGAAGGCACACCCTAGACTTTGAAGCAGACAATTGAAAAATGGCAGAAAACAGATACAAAACCAAACTAGGAATGAAACAGCAAAACAAAACCCCACAAAAACTAGCAAACAGGATGATCACATAGTGGGTAGTAGCCCTGGTTTCAGAACTAGGCCTGGCTTTGAGCTCTAAATCCACTAAGCAGATCCTCAAATAACATGGTTTTGTCATAATGCTGATGAGATGCCGTAGGAACTTAACTCTTGTTTCTAGTGGTAGAAGTTGTGTGTGTTTTTTAATTTTTCAATATTTTCATTGATTTCAGAGAGGAAGGGAGAGGGGGGGAGAGAGAGACAAAAACATCAATGATGAGAATCATTGATTGTCTGCCTCCAACACCCCCCACTGGGGATCGAGCCCGCAATTCAGGCAGGTGCCATGACCAACTGGGAATTGAACTGTGACCTCCTGGCCCACAGGATGAATCTCAGCCACTGAGCCACAACAGCCGGGCCTGGTTTGGTTATACATTAAAATTGGTTTAAGAATATAACGTTATATGCTTAAAGTCGCAGAACCTTTTGGCAACATTACGAACTCATTGTATTATCAATGTTTCTGTCATTTTAGTTACTGTGGACCAACACTTGAACCTCAACTTAGCCAACTGATGGTGCTGATCATTTTGGGGGTCACCTCCAGGAACACAGCAAAAATCAACAATCTGGCTTGCCACATGCTTCACACTGTGAAGAACAGGGACATTGAAGAGTTGTTATGATGCTTCAGCCATGGTGTCCTCCCTTTTTTTCTAAATGTAACAATACCAGCTGGTATTTTAAAATGTTATATCAACCCGAGAAAGGTAAGAAAAACCTACAATTAAGGCTATTGACAGACTAGTTTATACAAATGAGCTTGAGCAATGGGGTGACCTTTCCTGAGAGGCAGCAGAGTGTAGTGGAATAATGTTGGCTCTGATGTCGGAACCAGGACTGCTAACCCTTGGTTCTGAGCAGCTCTGTGATCCTAGAAAAATAAATCCCTTTCCACCCTGTGTTCATGGCACCCGACCTATCTTCCCAGAATCCCCCAAGAATATCAGGCCTCACCATTTTGCCACAACTCCAACTTCCCCAGCTCTTATGTGAGCACCAATCAGGCACGTTTAAAATCACTGCCTCTCCACATCTATGTCCCCACACCTCCTTCTTCGCCTGTGGACCTCCTCCTTTCCTCGTCCTATTCCCTCTGTGCCATGGGCCAGGAGGCAGCTGCCTTTGCTCATGTTCAGCCACCTGGAAAATACCTCTGTGTGCCCCTTCACTCCAGGCTCCAGACCCACATCCCTCACAAAGCCTATCTGGGGACTCCCACCCACTCTGGCTGAGCCTTCCCCTAACACTAGCGCTGTGAGACCAAATGCATTGAGAGCTACTTATTTCTCAGGCTCCTGGAATTTTGCTATTTAACAGGAGTGCTCTGGAATTAAGTATATAACTAAAAGTTGACAGCATCTTCTAGGACTTTTCACATAAGTTCAGGAATCAGGAAATGAAACGTTCATTGTTAAACCACATGTAACAATATGGTGAAAGATGTAATCCTACTTGGAGTCCACAGAACACAATTGGCCCTCAAATTATCTCCCCTGTCCCCTTCTTATTGCAAAGAGCCTCTGTGTTCTTGCACTGATTCCCTACAAAGCCAACCACACAAGAGAGTCTTCCAGACTCACTTTTTCCATTTCCACATGCCCTGTTCACTCATTAGCTCACTTTAGTCAGGCTTCGGTCCCCAACACTTATTCACTCCCTTGGGCTTGGAAGCTCATTCAGCTCCCAGTTCTGCAAGGCCAATGGAATGCAATCATACTGAGATCAAGCCTTCTGAACCATTAACACCCCCTAACTCTGGACAATGCTCTCAGCAGCTACACCCCCTTCCTTACCTTAAAGCAATAGTCATGGCAGCAGATGCCCAGCTGTGGTTTGGTTATACATTAAAATTGGTTTAAGAATATAACGTTATATGCTTAAAGTCGCAGAACCTTTTGGCAACATTACGAACTCATTGTATTATCAATGTTTCTGTCATTTTAGTTACTGTGGACCAACACTTGAACCTCAACTTAGCCAACTGATGGTGCTGATCATTTTGGGGGTCACCTCCAGGAACACAGCAAAAATCAACAATCTGGCTTGCCACATGCTTCACACTGTGAAGAACAGGGACACTGAAGAGTTGTTATGATGCTTCAGCCATGGTGTCCTCCCTTTTTTTCTAAATGTAACAATACCAGCTGGTATTTTAAAATGTTATATCAACCCGAGAAAGGTAAGAAAAACCTACAATTAAGGCTATTGACAGACTAGTTTATACAAATGAGCTTGAGCAATGGGGTGACCTTTCCTGAGAGGCAGCAGAGTGTAGTGGAATAATGTTGGCTCTGATGTCGGAACCAGGACTGCTAACCCTTGGTTCTGAGCAGCTCTGTGATCCTAGAAAAATAAATCCCTTTCCACCCTGTGCTCATGGTACCCGACCTATCTTCCCAGAATCCCCCAAGAATATCAGGCCTTACCATTTTGCCACAACTCCAACTTCCCCAGCTCTTATGTGAGCACCAATCAGGCACGTTTAAAATCACTGCCCCTCCACATCTATGTCCCCACACCTCCTTCTTCGCCTGTGGACCTCCTCCTTTCCTCGTCCTATTCCCTCTGTGCCATGGGCCAGGAGGCAGCTGCCTTTGCTCATGTTCAGCCACCTGGAAAATACCTCTGTGTGCCCCTTCACTCCAGGCTCCAGACCCACATCCCTCACAAAGCCTATCTGGGGACTCCCACCCACTCTGGCTGAGCCTTCCCCTAACACTAGTGCTGTGAGACCAAATGCATTGAGAGCTACTTATTTATTAGGCTCCTGGAATTTTGCTATTTAACAGGCGTGCTCTGGAATTAAGTATATAACTAAAAGTTGACAGCATCTTCTAGTACTTTTCACATAAGTTCAGGAATCAGGAAATGAAATATTCATTGTCAAACCACATGTAACAATATGGTGAAAGATGTAATCCTACTTGGAGTCCACAGAACACAATTGGCCCTCAAATTATCTCCCCTGTCCCCTTCTTATTGCAAAGATCCGCTGTGTTCTTGCACTGATTCCCTACAAAGCCAACCACACAAGAGAGTCTTCCAGACTCACTTTTTCCATTTCCACATGCCCTGTTCACTCATTAGCTCACTTTAGTCAGGCTTCGGTCCCCAACACTTATTCACTCCCTTGGGCTTGGAAGCTCATTCAGCTCCCAGTTCTGCAAGGCCAATGGAATGCAATCATACTGAGATCAAGC